TTCTCTAACGCTAATTTAAAATCTTTTTTTTTACTATAAAGAATCAGATAACAATAGCGATAAAATCTTGTGTTGTCTGCCTGTTAACCGTAAAATTCCTAATGTAAACCATTCATTTCAAATTATCGGTAAGGCGCGCGTAAACAATATATATACATATATTCTCATAACATTTGAAAGTTTAATCTTATCTTTTGCCAATTCATTTAAAAATAGATAGGAAGGATACGTATGCTCCTGAAAAGTTCAAATTTTTAAAAGCCGAAATGAGCCAAAATGGTGGAAGCATTGTTATTTTATCTTCTTTGGTAATTGAAGATTTAACTGAAAAGAAAGGAGCCTCTATTGAAAAAAAAGAAAAATGTAAGTTTTATCCTTTTTAATCTATTAAATAAATAAATAATAATAATTTCTCAAATGAAATCTACAGTGACTTTAATTCGTATAGAGCATCGTAACGAGAAAGAGAAGCAAAGTAAAAAGCTCGGATACTTCGTTATAAGAACAGGGCGTGTCTCACGTGATAGTTTCAACTCTATCTGCATATCAGATCTCCCTGACAGTTCTAAATGCGCTTTTCTCTCATTTGCCATATTTGATAACGAGGATAAACACAACTGTAGAATTGCATTTTCTTTTTATAATTTTTCGTTTAATCAGAGCAAATTCGAGTCAGAAGTAATCTTTGAATCAAGTGTTCAACAAGGGAATAAATACTTGAAGAGATTCGATACAAAAAACAGCTTTCTAATAAATTATAATTATAATCCATCTCGTCTTACTATACGATGCGAACAAAGCCATGGAAACGGAATTATCAAATTTCTTAATAATGAGGAACTTATAATATTACAACGTAATAGCTTTAGGATAATAACATTTGATAATCTTGATTTGGGAATAAAGAACGCAGTACGGGCTACAATATCTTTTTTTCATCAAGACACTGCAACGAAAAGAATAAACACCGATCATGCTTATCCACCACCAATGCACAAATTTGCAAAAAAAGAGAAGATATCCGAACAAATTGTTGAACACAAATTGAATAATTGCATAATTGACAATTACTTGTTTTCTATTAGCCGTAGAAAAAGTAACAAAATCGAAAGGTATAATCTAGAAACAGGTGAACTCGATAAATATTTTAATATAGTAGA